TTTTTTTTTCTTTTTTTTACAGAGTGGCGGAAACTGGCTTCCATAAGTAATAAATGGTCGCATGGATATTGTTTATAACAAATACTAGCATATTCTAAAAAGCAATGCAATATTTTTGCATTACTTAAGAAGGAACTATACTGCCACCTTGTGGCAGCACAGCGCACACAAACACCTGTGCAATAATATGATACCATTACATATTTTCATTAATTATCCGCTAAGATACGGAGCTCAGAAAAACACAGTCAAACAGGAAAACTATACATGATTAATCTAAAGATGGGAAGGTAATACAACCCTAGAGTCAACAGGAGGCGCCTGTTTGCTACTTTGCAGGAAGTCTGGAAAAATTGATGTAAACTGAAATAAATTCTATATAAACACTTGGGGGCGCTGGAGTTACACTCCTTGTTTGGCATGTGATGAGGTTTGAGTTTATTTCTCAGCAAATCTTTGGTTGGCCCTTGCCCTTTATGCTTAACTTTCTTTAATCCTAGACCTTCTATGTCAGATTAAACCATTACATGTAGTTTTATACAGAAAATTGTAAGCTAAATAAAGACTTCCATTGCAAACATAAAGTCAAGTAATGATATTTTAAAATAAAAGCCAATAAAAAATGCTTAAAGAAGCATCAATGTAGTAAATAAGCCTTTTTTTTTTTTTTACAGTGCATCTTGCGTATCTGTCTGGAGGTAAATATAAACAATGATCCTGGTATTTTATGACCTTTATGTTTCATTTCTTTCTAATTCTTTATGTTGTCTGCAGACAAGCAGGATACACATAGCTAAGCAAATAATAGAATGGCGTGGGGAGTAGTCAGCCGTGGGGCCCTTACTCATTGGCTGCCTCAGACACAGGAGCTCTCCCTCTCACTCTCACATAAATGCGCTCCCAGCGCCAACCGTGGCAGATAATCACAGGCCACTGAAAGGAGGAGGACACACCTTCCGCTCATTTGGTAACAGTTTGCACGGGGATGCGCTTTGACTCACTAAAAGATTTGACTCGTATTTTTTTTCCTCCTGCAGTTTTGTCCTTTTTGCGCGCGCATTGGCTTCGGTTTTGCAGCGTTTCTCATCCAAGATGACGGGGGTTTTTGAGAACCTGAACACAGATATGCATTCGAACCAGATTACCTCAAACAGTTACCACAGCTTGCACAAATCGCAGGAATCCCCTACTCTACCGGTCTCCACGGCGACGGATAGCAGCTTTTACAATAGCCAGCAGCCAGGGCACTGCCCCGGGTCTCCTTTTGGTCAACTCGGCTCCTATCAGTACCACGGAGGCGCCGCGGCTTCTGTGCCATACCCTAACGCCAAAGCATACGAGCTTGGCTTCAATTCTTCATATGGTGCTTATGGCTCTTACGGCTCCAACTCCTCTCCTACTCCTGTCGAGACAGGTAATTCCTCCTATTTGACCTGTTGGGTATTTAAGAGACTTTTACGCATCTTTTGTTCTTAAGGACGCTTGCAATTTCTGAGGCAAAAATGAAAATTTCCCTCAAAAGTACCGATTATGTTATGCTTTAAAATAAAACTATTATTGTTTTAGAAAAACTCCAGTTTTTTTTTTAAAGAAATTGTTATCAAATTTGGTGCCTCTAGCTAATCAAATTTCTTTAGTTATTTGAATAAAAACGCAAAAGTTTTAATCAAATACAAATTCCTAAATCTTTCATGTGTTAACCCAAATTACTTTTGATTTTCCCCATTAGAGAAAGAAGAAAGCGAGCCGGAAATCCGGATGGTGAATGGAAAACCAAAGAAGGTCAGGAAACCTCGGACCATTTATTCCAGCTTCCAACTGGCTGCTCTGCAGCGAAGGTTTCAAAAGACGCAGTATTTGGCTCTGCCGGAGCGCGCCGAGCTGGCAGCCTCGCTGGGACTCACACAAACACAGGTGAGTGCATCTGAGAATTGGGTTTTGTGCAGTCAAATATCAGCTTACTGTGTTCATTGACGAATGGAAACGTAAGCATGGGGAACATCTACTAATCAGCGTTGCTATCTGTTGTTCAGGTCAAGATCTGGTTCCAGAACCGCCGCTCCAAATTCAAGAAGCTGTGGAAAAGCGGGGAGATTCCCCCAGAGCAGCACGTTGCTTCCAGTGAATCTCCTCCCTGCACTTCTCCTTCGACTACTGCCTGGGACTTTCCACAGAATCAAAGAATGAACAGTATCAGCTCGGGTATACCTCCGAGTAGCGGCAGCCCTCCCAATACCACTGCGCCTTCATCGTTTTTGGCAAACTACTCCTGGTATTCAACTACGAACTCTACAACGCATCTGCAGCCTGCTCTGGTTCAGCATCACCACAACTCAGCCATAAGTGCTGGGACGATATTCTGAAATAAAATAAAAAAAAGCAAACGAAAAAAAAAAACTGTGGGTTTTAAAACGGACAGTAAACAAATGCCAATATTTCACAGACCTCTCGTGCGTCTTTACGCACAGATATTTAGCAGCAAAACAGGTTCACGAACTAGTTTTGATGCCGGTGAAGGGATAAAGATTTACACTTATTTTTGTATTTATTTATTTTTCTTTGTTTGGGGGACGAATGAACCACTGTTACCCAAAATATTCACAGTCTGGCCAAGAGCCTAACTTTTAAAAGGACGTCACTTTTTTTTTTTTTTTTTTGACATTTTCTGAAAAAGTTTGACACCAGGACAACATGTCACAGATGTAGCGCAAATTATATCTTTACTGTATCGTGCCTTTTGCAATATGACCTCATTTTGTTCTGCGGGGGAGAGAAAAAAACAACAACTATTCACTCCTCAAATAGCTTAGTTGATATGAATATACAGGAAGGGTAAGTGTTTTTGTAAATAATATTCAGCACAGCCTTTTTTACAGCCCATGTTACTCTTCTTATAGGATGGTGGTGCAAATTCATGAATCACCGTACAAGCTACTGATTGTTCACTCCTGATTTAGGCCTACTCTTATTCCATTTTATTGTGATTTTGTCTTATTTATTTTAGCCGTGTTTCATATATGGTCAGACTTTATTTAAATAAAATGTTTCCTGTGATCTTGTATTCAGCTTTTTTTAAGCCTACAGTAATTCAGACTGTTGGTTTGTCTGTCATTTTCTTCTTTTTAATACATTGATTGTTGAAATCAGTTGAGATCAGTTGTTTTTAACTTCAAAAAATTTTTTTTCAAAAATATTAGAAAATCTGAAAAAAAGTGAAATATTATATGTACTGATATTTTAATGTAGCCTATTGCACACATTAGAAAATTTGAATATTTTGTGAAGAAGTAGGTTGATATTTAACTATTTTCACCAAAACAACATACTGGAATATAACTGATTGAAGTAACTACCAAAATATCAAGATTAAACATTATTAAATGTTAAATCAAAGTAAATCATTTTAAATTATTAAGCAGTTATAATTAGGCTATGGTTTGCATATGAAAGACCAAAACTTATGGACAAGTCTGCACCTGCAGATGCATAAATTTATGTCGATATTTAGCTCAATAAAAACAAGAACTTGGGATTCACAAGCCTGCAATGATTAAATAGATAAATAAATTAGCCAATTATCTTTTAAAACTCTTTTTATGTAGCCTACTCCAAAGCAAAATTTAAAACATTTATCAAATTAACACTTTAAATTGTGCTTACTTTGAAACATTACATTTAAAATGTTATTGAATTCACAATTTCTAAGTGCAACTCTTATATTCAATATGGAAAGTTGTTCATTACTCAACTTTAAAATAATAAATACCCAATAGCCAAGAAATTATGCTACTATTAGCCTTCCTGTTATTAGTTATCCTGGGTTCCTAAGCAACATTGACTATTGGTTAGTTTTAGTGATTCTGGATAAGCTAGCAAAGGTTTTAACTTACTAATAATTACCTTCCAAACCCTGCATATTTTATTGTTGCTGGTGTTTTTATGTGGACACATTTGAATTTTATTTTAACAATTGGTAGATGATTTTAGCATGAATTTCACAGCAAGTCCAAATCTTCTACATCCCAACACATCACTGATTAGACAATTCAAGAAAAAAAAATATATAATGATCTTTTTTTCACTATTACCACTAGGCCTGACAATATGTATTCTAAATATTACAGGACTATATTGTGCTTTTTAAAAATGTATTGCATTTTGAAATGCATTTGAAAAAGCGGACAGAATACATGTTCCAGGAATGTTTACATTTAATTGAAATTATTATAATAAGGCTAATTAAAAAAAATGTATTCTGGCTTATAAGCTGTAAATCAGCCATCAACTGCAGCATTAATTCCCAAAGTCAGGGTTGTGACCCCAATTGGGGACACATAAACAAGCATTGGGGTCGATGTCCACTATAGAAATTAAAGTCAACTATAGGAAAAAATAGTGATGAAGGATATTTATGTGGTTAAATATATTAAAATATCACATAACCAAATGCATTGATTCTTGATAATGTTTTTTTATCACCTTTGTACCACTGGCCTGTTTTTGTGTTTTGTTTTTAATTGTATTTTCATACTCCAACCAATAGTTTGCGTCATGAGACCATTCTGGTATTATTGTTTGGGTCTATTCAGAACATTTTGGGAACCACTGGACTACAGTATTATCCACAATCCAATTTAACATTGTGTAAAAGACATAATTGTTTGCAAATAATTTTTTTGTGTCCTCATGGTGTTCACTAGGTCATGTTACCCCGGATAGAACAGACTGCAGCCCTTATCAAAAAAAACAAAAAACACTCATGCTGGCGAATTTTATGGGGATTGCGTATTTGGTTTTAATTTTCCATTAGCAGTTGTTTTGCAGAGTAGAAAGCAGAGGCATGAGTAGGTGGCAAACTGTTGGCATGCCAGAGGGGAAAGATGAGGGAAGGAAAAAAAATAAAAAGAAGACAAGCTCCTCAGACTGTGTGGAGTCAGCAAGCCTTGTTTTCTCCCCCCAGACGCTTTATGAACTCAGCCTTACAAGAGAAAAGGAGATGGGAACAAGATCCAAGACAGCCTGGAGCTTAACTAGACCATCAGGCAAACAGTTCTCACATCTCACAACAAGTCTCTGATCTCCGAAGACGAGCAAGTTGACCCACATTATTCATGTAGATCGAGGCGAACATAGACACAAGTCTTAGGGCTGAAATACCACACACAGAGGATACTTTAGACATTGATTGTATTATTTCTATTCTTTTTAGATTATTGAATGAGCTGTCATGATTCCAGATGGTACAGTGGCACTAAAAAATGGAATTTTGAAAAGTATTAAAAATATTTGAAGCTAATTCAAGATCAAAGATGACATCTAATTAACAATAGTAAAACCGAAACATTGAAAAGTTTGGTTCTAACAAGTCCTGTTTAAACATTTTGGTGAGAGATGATTTAAAGAAGTTCACACAACTATTATCCTTCACAGGCAAATATGCTGTGTTTATTTTAGATCTGCATATACATGCTTAATCAACATTTTGAACTCTCATAAAACTTAGAGAAGCAAAATCAGAAATTGAAGTTTAATACCAGTTTTAATTAAATAACTGTTGTGCTAGTACTATACGGTAGGTGAACTTGCTAGCAAGGGAATTATGCCTGAAGTAAAGGATGCCAGTCGTTTATTAAAGACATGGTAATATGACCCTGTGTTAGAAAAGATATTAAAACTGCAATATAATCAACTGCCTTTACTTTGTTAAGATAATTTTAATGCATCTTAATGCTATAACCTTGCCAACAAGCTAAGTTTTCTAACCGTGAGGACGCTATTGTCATGGAAATCCAGATATTAGCTTCTTTTAATCTGGGAAAATATTTTTAAGCACCCTATTAGAGTTTAATTTCAACAATTTCCAGGTTCATCTTGCTAGCAAGTTTAGTTTGCCCTGAGCTGACATTACCAAAATGCATAAAAAATATTTTGCATTATTTCAGCAACATCATTAGGCCTTAATTCCAAACCAGTTTGTAAAATATGATAACAAACAAGACATGTATTTCTAGCGTTATTAGTTTTATATATATTCAACCCATTTTTTTTTATTTTATCTGGTAGTTGGATCATTTTCTGCACAGGAAACATTAAAATCATCCATCAAATGTTTATTTTTCACTTTATATGAAGAATAAAGTCATTATTTCATTTAAAGACTAGGGGAAATACAGTTGGATCTTGTGCTTGTACCTAATTAGGACTGTAGGTCAGTTGATATATCTACATGATGGAGACCCCTCTCCATTCCAGCCATCCACCTCTTGGGAGGCTGACTACATCTGACAGGCCCCCAGGCATGCATACAGTCAGGCTGTGTCTAAACACATGTAGGAACATGCTGACAACATTCTGTAGATTTAATTCATTCAGTGAGTCGTCAGCTGATTTATGATGTTAAAAAAATTTGCTATGATGACAGATTTTCATGATCAGTATATTTGCAGGGTAAAAATGCTGCTTCACAGTACCATTTGGAGCTGTTGTGGTTTATAGTTTGGCGTTTCTCTGGGAAACTTGTAAATGCCACATACCCCCCTATCCCCATTTAAACCCTGATCTGTAATTTCATCCACATTTGCTCTGGTTGGAGCATTCCGGCTTTCAAATCTGAAAGCCTGCAATTACTATATAATTCTTCGCAATTTTAGATGTCCTAATATGGGCTGTAATTTTTTTTTTTTTTTTTTTTACACAAGACAATTTCCCGCTATTTCAAGCATCAACATTGTCAAAGTTGTATGTACATAATAAATGGGAATATCAATGCATAGTTTTTAGTCTAACATCTTGACTCAACGATAATTATATCCGTGTGGAGCCTACGCGGAATTAGCCTGAATTGCACGGTAACTGCTGCTTTAAATTTTAAAAAAATTACTCATAATTTCCCCCAAAGATTACCAAGATCTCGAGTGCACAATGTCATCAGCGTAATGAGGAGTAAACATTTATGCTAATAATCTACAATTTTTCCCCCTCGTCGCCTATAAAAAGGGAAAATAAAGCAGAGATTTTCAGTCATTTTCTGAACTCTGCAGCTATAGCATTGGACCGACACATGGGACACATTTAGTGGGAATTTAGAGCGCTGCTGTGGAGCCTGTGCTGCGTGGAGGCTTTTATGCTCATCTGCATCCATGCTGATTCCTGCAGCTCTACAGAGGAAAGGAAGGTGGGAGCTGGATCTTTGATCCTTCATATTTAACCTTTATACCTTATACTTAAAGAAAATGAAAAAAAATCTGGAAGTAAACTTAAAATGTCATATTTCACTGCTGATGGTATTTATTTTGATGTCTAATATTGGCTGCATATATATATATATATATATATATATATATATATATATATATATATATATATATATATATATATATATATATATATATCTTTTTCGGTTTAGTAAATCGCCTGCAAAAAATAAAATCACATTTTTCCTAAAAACTCTAAAAACGCAAAGAGAATCAAACTCGTTATTCTCAAATTGTGCCTAATTTCTGAAGCCTCTCCGGCATTGACAACTCGGTGATGTACACCTGCAAGCAATTTGTCAGTCTTATAGCTACATATTGGGCTTAGTCTAAGAGAACGGTGACAAAATGGCAGCTCACCTATTTCGCTTTTTTTTTTTTTTTCTTTTGCAGCAGAACATTTCCTTCAGAGCGCATTCTCTTTTGTTAAGGCAGAAAGATCCTCGGTGCGAAAAAAAATTGCTCATAATTACCTCAGAGATAGGAAACTGCATTAGAATAAATAAGGGCGAAATTACTGTAATTATACCGGGTTTGATGGGCTCAACTCGTATAATCAAGGGGAGAATACAGCGAAATAACACTGACCCTCTTGGGTTTGCAGCTGCGCCTTTTCTGGGAGTAGGTAGGCAGATTTTACTCTGCAGTGATCCTGCTTTCTTAGAGCCATATCTATAGAAAAGCTGTAGGCTGCTCACAAAGGATTAGTCTAGAAAATGTTGAAATATAAAAGCAGGGTAAGGAATTATAAACAAGAACAAGGCAGGATATTTTTTCATTTTTTCTCAACTCATCTGTACCCTTGTTGCTTATAACAATATTAATGATGTTAGTAAT